GAAAGATTGGCTCTCTGCATGATTGAGGATAGCCTAGTGTTGGAGAAGCGGCAAAGAGGAGGTGGACCCTGCATATCGAAATGACTAGGAAGAAGACAAGTTAGAAATATAAGGATAATAAAGTACATCCTGAGGGTGCCCCCATCGGGCAAGGTGGAATTAAGCCAGTGGGTGAGAGGGGAGGACTGGAGGGCAGGAAAGGCTGGAATTGGGCTTTATTTGCAGTGTGGTATAACTACATGATCATTCATCTCTAATACTAGCAGTTCTGTATTAGCAGTTGTCATCTTTTCAATCAATTTTCTATCCCTAAAAAAATGGTCATCCTGGACCTGGTCAAATGAACCTAGATGTATCACCTCCATCCAAAATGATGTATTTACTCCTGCTCTCCTCTTGTATGGGATGGACATGGCAGCAAGGCACCTAGCATTTTACAAGGAGGTTGGCAATGGAGGCCAAAGTACGTCCTTCAGCAAACGTTTTCTGTAAGTGATGTTATAATATTATAATGTGACCTTGAGAAGTAAAGGATACAGAAAATAATTGTCACCGGACACGCTTCAGGCGAGAGAGCCAGTAACTTGTGTCTTAAGTCATGGATCCATACATGTGATTTATTGCATAGCAGCGCACTAATGATTGTATGATGTGTCTCTATGGCTATATTACAGTATATACTGATAGTTTTGAAGTATAGCGCTTGTGTTGTTACGCTGTATAGTACGATTGTGTAACAGTACAATAACATGTGTTTAAAACGAATGTTTTATATAACAGGCAGCAAGTAAAATAGCTAACCAGCAAACACTGCAACTGTACTAAAGCCAGAAAGCCTAAGCTACCTTTGTACTGAGAACAAAGCCAGCAGCACAGACCCTCTTGCCTATTCTATCTCTATAATTGGTCCTCTGTAAAAAGTACAGAGTGTTTTTTGCATGACAATATTACACCATGGTAGCACAGCACAATGCGATCATATGACAATATGACACTAATGAATGTGATTGTGTGACAGTATTAGGCTAGGGTAGTACAGTACACAGCGCAGTTATCTCACAGCAAATTAAGTAAACGTGTTAATTGGTTATATTTAGTGATCTCAGCATCTCCCTATTATAAACAATATCTCACTTTTCCACTAGACCGGGGACTGTGTTGGTATGACAGCGCAGCGGTACACAGAGAGGGATTGTATGCAGTCATCGCAGTACACAGGGTCTGGATTGGACTGGGAAAGGGGTGTTGTGTTCCATCCTCCGGCAGGGTGGAAATTTCCGAATCTCACCTGGCTGTCACAGCTGGAAAGGTTGAGTCTATTTGTGCAGGTCTGAGCTCTGCTGTTTGAATGGGCCGTTCATGCAGTTACAGGAAGAAGGGACTGTTTACTGATAGACAGTATGGTCAATATTGAGCCAGGGGCTGTAGGTCCTACAGAGTATTATAGCATACACTTGGCTCCTCGCCCATTTCACTGCTTTTCTTCTGGAGAGGATAGACCCCCCTCGCCCTGTAATACTCAGTGACATCAAGCTTGCCATTACATATAGGATGAATCTTAGCCCTGGTTCATGCACAATGCTCAAAGCTTGAAGCCCAAGGGCTGAGGCCTAAATATGAACTACTTCTGAAGCAGAATGGGGTGTTTTTGGCCCCATAAACCTCAATAGAAGCTCCTGAGAATGCCTGAAAATGAACGTCTTTCAGGGCTAAACAACCATCTTCATACCTCCCAATAGTGGTGTCACTAGGGGGTGCAGCCCGCACTCGGGTGACACCATTGGAGTAGGGTTGCCACCTGTCCCGGATGGACCTGGACAGCCCAGGTTTTGAATGCTGTGTCCGGGTTTCGTGGCAGCAGAAACCTGGACGCAAGAACTCAAGCAAACAGGGGCGACCAAAATTAAGATAGGGGCTACTGGCCCCCCACTAAAAATAGTCTCGACTGTAATATTTACATAGGAATGGGTTGATGCTATTTACATATGAATAAGCCGCGACTCATTCTCCCAAAACAATGTCCGCGCATCGCTAGAGTGTTTGGGTTTCGCTGGAGAAAAAAGTGGAAACCCGACAATGGAGGGGTGACACCAAAATGACTGACAGTCTGAAAAGTCGGGCACTCGGTCGTGGACCGAGAGCCGGACGGTTGCAAGAGAGGTGGAGGGGACCCGGCGGCATACTTTATGCCGTTGGGTGAACGTTCCCCCTCTCTGTGCTGGTGTCCATCACCAAGATGGCCGCAGGCAGGTATCAGCAAGATGGCCGCGCATGCGTGATGACGTCATCGTGCACGTGCGCGGTGACGTCATCGGCGACTGCTCCAGATTTTGTCTGCTCCTCCTTCATAATTTCCCCCCAATGTTTTTCGGCAATGGACTCACCACACCAGTTATGTGGACCATTAAAGGAGAACTATGGGATCAGTGCTTTTCCCCATAGTTCTCCTTAGGGTAACGGGAAGACACAAACTAGTGTCCTCCCGTCACCCTAGGCTCAGTATACGGCGAGCTACAGCTTGCGGTATACTGAGACGCCGGAGCGGATCCTGACATCGATGTCGAGATCCGCCCAGCTGCGTGACTGACAGCTGGCTCTGCCTATCTAGAGGCAGAGCCAGCTGTACCCGTCCCCTCCACCGTCCGTTCTGCCAGTCAGCGCTGGCGGATCGGAGCGGGAAGGGGGGAATCCAGCCCCTCCCCTGTCACGGCAGAGAGCCGTGACAGGATCGAGAGGTGAGCGAATGCCGGTATATGTTCGCTCACCTCCCGATCTACTGAGCCGACCTGTGACAGTCTCATTGTCACAGGTCGGCTAGAACTATGAGGTGAGTGAAAAGCACTCACCTCATAGTTCTACTTTAAGAATTTATATGCCAAAAATGATTGGTTAAACCCAAAATTGTTGTTTTCCACCATTAATTTTCCTTTATACTGGATTGTCAAAATAGCAAACTAGATAATTAAGAGATGAGATAAAAGCTTTCGTGCCGAATAACACTTTTGGTCAGGGCCGGCCCTATAATTATGCAGCCTGAGGCGATTGCATCAGATGGCATCTCTTTGCGTTACGTAAGAGCTCTTAGCGAGCTGTGATGCTGTGGCCGGTGTTCTGCCTAGTTCCTGACAACCAGGGACATCAGTGAGCTGGGTGGGATACCAGAAAGAGCTGGAGTGCCCCCCTGGTAATGTGCACCACTAGCAATTCCCCCCTCCCAGGTAACGTGATCCACTAGCATCCCCCCAGGCGGCGAATAGTCCCCTGGGGGGTGCTAGTAGTTACACTGAACCTTTGCATAGATATCTGAACATCAGCCGAAAAAAAAGGGACAACTGAGTAGGAAATTAGGGATTAGGTTCCAAATGGGGGACAGTCCTTCCAAATGAGAGACAGTTGGGAGGCATGCTACCTTCTCCAGGTACCTAACTTTACTTTAGCAAAAACAAAAATGTCCTCCAAAAAATGCACAAATAAAAAAAGCTCCCAGTTTGCCTGTAAATGCAGCTTAAGGGATTCATGCACCGCAAGTGCAGGGCTGGATTTACCATCGGGGGCAGTAGGCTTGTGCCTATAGGTGGAAAAGCAAAGGCGGGCTTTCCCTGTATAGTTATTAACCACGCATTTTTCACAGTGCTTCCCTGCTGCTCCGTTGGAGCCTTCGCAAAGTAACCAGCCTCCACGAATCTGGGGAACACATAGGGAGGCATTTATCAAAACTGGAGCAGACAGAATCTAGAAACCCAAACACTCTAGTGCCGCACAGCAATTTTTTTGGGGGAAATGTACAGGAGAGAGTGAGGAAAGACAGCAAGGAGAGAGAGAGACAGCCAGGAGAGAGCGAGGAGAGATAGCCGGGAGTGAGAGGAGAGACAGTCAGAAGAGAGAGAGGGGAGACAGCCAGGAGAGCGAGAGAGGAGAGACAGCCAGGAGAGATAGCGAGAAGAGATAGCCATGAGTGAGAGGAGAGACAGTCAGAAGAGAGAGAGGGGAGACAGCCAGGAGAGCGAGAGAGGAGAGACAGCCAGGAGAGAGAGTTAGGAGAGACAGCCAGGGGAAAGAAGGGAGAGACAGAGAGGAGAGACAGCCATGGGAGAGAGGGGAGAGAGACCCAGGAGGAAAGGCGGGAAGAGACAGCCAGGAGAGAGAGAGAGAGAGAGAGGAGAGACAGCCATGGAAGAGAGCGAGGAGAGGCAGCCAGGAGACAGATCAAAGAGAGACAGAGTGGAGAGAAAGCCAGGAGAGAGTGAGGAGAGACAGTCAGGAGAGAGTGAGGAGAGACAGCCATTAGAGAGAGAGGAGAGACAGCCAGGAGAGAGTGAGGAGAGACAGCCAGGAGAGAGTGAGGAGAGACAGCCAGGAGACAGAGTGGAGAGATAGCCAGGAGAGAGAGAGGAGAGACAGCCATTAGAGAGAGAGGAGAGACAGTCAGGAGAGAGTGAGAGACAGCCAGGAGAGAGCGAGGAGAGACAGCCAGGACAAAGAGCGAGGAGAGACAGCCAGGACAGAGAGCGAGGAGAGACAGCCAGGAGAGAGCAAGGAGAGACAGCCAGGAGAAAGAGCGAGGAGAGACAGCCAGGAGACAGAGAGAGGAGAGACAGCCGGGAGAGAGAGAGAGCATGGGGAGACAGCCAGGAGAGACAGCCAGGAGAGAGAGCAAAGGGAGACAGCCAGGAGAAAGAGTAAGGAGAAACAACCAGGGGAGAGAGGAGAGCTGATGACAAGAAGCTAATATGAAGACCCAGCCATGTACTTCTATTAGCAGGATCTAAAAATCTCTTTAACATTTTGTTTTTAAAGAATGAATAAATGGACTCCTCTGTGTTTTTACATGCGTCTAGGGGCAGTTTTAAACAGCGTGCGCGAGCTCCAAATGTACTTTTCATGTTGCCTGCTCGCCGTAGAGGGGATTGAAACTGTTCGGGTCACCTTCTGGTCAGCAGGCTGTCACTGTGAAATGCTGCTCCTTCTGCAGTAACTGACCTTGTTTTATTTCTTGCTAGAGGTGACATATCGGGAGGAGAGCTGTGATGAGGAGGACGTGCACAGCGGCTGCCCCCAGGAGAGTGACCTGGCTTTAAGACTTAGAATGAAACATCAACTCTTTCTGTCCTGTGGCAAGTATCCGCGCAGCATATAATCATTCACTCCGGGGATCGCGTTAATTACAGCCATAATGTTGCCTGCTGTTATTTACAGATGAATGTTTCTTATTAGTGTGATTACATCACAAGTTGGAGCATGCCCCTAAACTATACAAATGCCTGGTGCTGCACATGCCCAACCGTCCTCTAGAATATGCAGGCAAGTTACAAGCTAATGACATTAATGTTAAAAAAAAAAACAGATGAAGAATGGCATAGATTTAGAGATGAACATGGGCTTAGTGGGCCGTCTGCTTGTGCTGTTACAGTGCTGTATCTGATCGCACACCTATGTGCTGTGCCTGGGCATCTAGGCATCAGTGGTCCCCGGTCAAAAAAGGGTTAAAGGATATCTAAAACCCAAGAACAAAACTTTTATAGATTGCAGCTTACTGATGTGGTGGCTTGTTAGAATACATATTATTATATCTATTGCAGCGGTCGCCAACCTGTGGTCCGGGAGAAAATGTTGGGGGTCCCCGGGCCCCTCTGATGCCATGCAGGCTGGGCACTGAGGCTCCGGAGCTGCCCCTCACTGACTCAAGCAGCGGCTGTCACAATCTCGTCAGTACCCGGACTGAGCAGGCTGCGGGACATAGAAAAAGTGGGGAGAAGCCAGGTAATAGTGGCTCAGTATGGGGGAAGGGGAGGCACATTTTTTTTGTTTCCGCATATATAAATATATTCTCATATGTGTGTGTATGTGTACACACATATATATACACACATATGAGAATATATTTATATTTGCGTAAACAAAAAATATGAGAATATATATATATTTTTACAAAATTCATATTAGTGGTCCTCGGGATTTAAAATGATGAATTTAGTGGTCCATGAGGTCTGAAAGGTTGGCTCCGCTGATCTCTATAGCAATAACTCCCGCACTATACAATTTCGGTCACTAGATGGCAGTGTTTATAAGTTCTGTTATGTATCTATGGTAGATTCTCTGTTGTATTGAATAATGGTAGAGAATAAAGCTGTGGCTTCCTTCCTGTTTTAGACAAGCCAATGTGCAGCATGCATATCAGACGGTGTGCTTGTGTTTCTCTGTGAGGCTGTGCAAGACGTTCCAACATGGCTGCATTCCTTTTCTTTTTTTAGGCTAAGAATTTAAAAAACCACAGTAGCTTATTGGTTAGCCTTTCTGCCTTGCAGCACTGAGGGTCCCTGATTCAAATCCTGGTCAGGACACTATCTGCATGGAGTTTGCATGTTCTCCTTGTGCTTGTGTGGGTTTCCGCCGGGTACTCCGGTTTCCTCCCACACTCCAAAGACATGCTGGGAGGTTAATTGGCTCATGTCTAAATCAGCCCTGTATGTATGTGAGATAGGGACCTTAGATAGTATGCTCCTCAAGGGCAGGGACTGATGTGAATGTGCAGTATGTAAAGAGCTGCGTACCTTGTCAGCGCTATATAAATAACTGTAATAAATAAATTAATAAATACCTGTTGATCCTGCCAGAAATGCAGAGTCCTTGTCACTGTGTATTGATTGCCAACAATATTATCTGCTTTCCAAAGCTAGTCTTCTTTCCATTCCCCAGCCCCCTATGTATGGAGATGGAAAGAGTAAGATGTGCTTGTAGTCCAAATCAGTGGATCAAGCTAGTAGCAGCCGTGGGTCCCTCCAAAGGTGGAGGCTTGATCCTGCAAGTAACACACATCCTGTTTTAGGATGGCAACGCTCACTCACCTTACTGTATCTATGGAGGGAGCCGTGGTTGTTACCGGCTTGTAGTCCAAATCAGGGGATCAAGCTGGTAACAGCCACGGCTCCCTCCGTAGATACAGCCAAGTGAGTGAGTGTGGTCATTCTAGGAAAGGAAGTGTGTTATTTGCAGGATCATCATGTGAAGATAAAGGCAAAAAAAGCCTAACAAAAGAAAATTAATGCAGCCACCACATCTAAGGACTATCTCCCACTCTGACTGCCTTTAGGCAATCCCTTAAGACTCATCTTTTCAGGGAAGCCTATCCCACCTCAACCTAACCACTGATCTATCACGTTGTCAAGCAATTCATCCCCGCAAAGCTACCTCCTCATGTATCATTTGCCCCTCCCTTTTAGATTGTAAGCCCTCAGGGGCAGGGCCCTCCTTACCATCTTGTCTGTAAAAAATAAGTCAAGGCAACTGGACTTGCTGTATTTTTCTTGAAGATCTTTCACTGGACATCCGACCAGCTTTCTCAATTCAGAATGACTTGTACAAAAAATGATCTGGGAATAAATATGCTGAATGTCGCTCCAATCCACATCATCTGTTAGTCCCAACCAGGTGTTGATTGCATTTGCATAACTGCAGTCTAGGAAGTGTTATTAACCTGCCCGGAGAGAGTTGTTAAAACAGCATTGTATGTGGCAGACAATAGATGTCTGCCCCCCCTCCCCTCCCCTCTATTAAAGCTTGGCGTCTTCATTTTTACATAAATGGCCTCTTTCACACCTCTTTTGAACCATTCCTCCTCCCTGTCTAGGATGCGTACTTGACTGTCTTCAAAGGAGTGACCCTTTTCCTTTAGATATAGGTACACTGCTGAATCCTGGCCAGAGGGTTTTGCTCTTCTATGCTGTGCTATACGCTGGTGTAGCTGCTGTTCTGTTTCACCGAGATACAATTCTGAGCACTCCTCACTGCACTGAACTGCATACACAGTGTTGTTCATCTTGCGTTTTGGCGTTGGGTCTTTTGGGTGAACCAGCTGTTGCCTCAGTGTATTGCTGTCAACACCTGCAAATGCAATCAACACCTGGTTGTGACTAACAGATGATGTGGATTGGAGCGACATTCACCATATTTATTCCCAGATAATTTTTTGGACAAGTCATTCTGAATTGAGAAAGCTGGTCGGATGTCCAGTGACACGTCTTCAAGAAAAATACAGCAAGTCCAGTTGCCTTGACTTATTTTTTACAGATGAGATGGTAAGGAGGGCTCTACCCCTGAGGGCTTACAATCTAAAAGGGAGGGGCAAGTGATACATGAGGAGGTAGCTGTGCGGGGATGAATTGCTTGACAACGTGATAGATCAGTGGTTAGGTTGAGGTTCAAGAAAAATACAGCAAGCCCAGTTGCCTTGACTTATTTGTTTACAGATATAACATGACCTGGATGAATGAGAACCTCACAGACTCATTACCATCTTGTCTTGAATTGTCTTGTGATTGTAATATCTTATATATCCTTATATTGTAAAGCGCTGCGCAAACTGTTGGCGCTATATAAATCCTGTATAAAAATAATAATATGTAGAATGTTTGTTTTGGGGTATACATGCCCTTTAAAGGAGAACTATGAGGTTAGGGCTTTTCCCCACAGTTCTCCTAAGGGTAACAGGAGGACACAAACTAGCGTCCTCCCGTCACCCTAAGTTCAGTATACCGCGAGCTTCAGCTGAGACGCCGCAGCTGAAGCGGATCCCGGCAATTATGTCTGGATCCGCCCAGCTGCGTGACTGACAGCTGGCTCTGGCTATCTAGAGGCTATCTGTAGCATTGTGGGATTGGTTTCTTTTATATTAAAATAGTAGTAACCACTCAACTTTTTTTTTTCAATGATGAATCCAGATCAAACAAATATGAATTGCCCAGCAAAGTATTTATTTGCATGTTTTACTAAAACACTTATAGTCATCATGTTTCTGAACAGCTGCTCCAAGATATTTAGCTCATCTTTCCTGAACTCCTGTTGAGTACAGGATCACAGTAGGTGTCCATCGACTAGCTTGGTGGAAGGAGGAGCAGGGAGCAGTTTGACTTGCTGTGCCTGTGTGTTTATGGAAAAAAGCAGATATCCTATTGCACACCACACCTATGTGTGTTTATGGAGACACACACAGCTTACTAGCACACACAAGGGTGGCTCCATAGGACCCTGCAAGGGAAAGGAGCCACCCTAAAACAGGATATCAGGACCAATGCTCAGGGGACAAGCTGATTCTGCAGGAAACTAAATCTTTTAAACATTGGGGAGCACCATCTAACATTTTGACTTCACTTAGATGAATAAAATAAACAAATATATAAGGATGAGTGAAAATAAGAATTTGTGTTCATTTTGGTCAAATTTGCCATTTCATTGGTAAATGTGTTGGAGTGTTTAGGGAAAGGGGATTCAAGTGTCTTTTTGTTGATTGGCCATTAAAGCAGGGGTAACCCAGCCCTCCAGCTGTGCTTTAACTACAAATCCCAAGATGCCTCTGGGAGTAATGCCTGTAATGGTCAGTCTTGCAATGCCTCATGGGACTTGTAGTTCCACAACAGCTGGAGGGCCGGAGTTGCCCACCCTTGCTTTAAAGGTTTTTTTGAAAATAACTCCGGGTTTGTCAACCTCATGTTTACACCCCACCACGCAGCATTAACATGCAAAAGTACTTAATAGTTACCTGTGTTCCATGTGTCTTGAGTGCGGTCAGGTGATGTAACAGGTCCTGCTCACCCTCTTCTTCCTCTGGCGGTGGGTGAATCCTAAATGCTGCAGAGAGCGACACCATTAAAATTCATGGCGCGGTTCACTGCAGCATTCTCCTAAGAATCCATGGGAGGGGCGGAGCCTTGACACCTTGGGCTAACAAAGTAGGTAAAATGACACTGGGTGTCATTCATCTTAGAAGAACAGCATCACTGGCTCAGTGACCCGGTGAGTCTGTGGGGGACAGTACAGGAGATGAGGTGAGTAAAGAAGCCGAAGCTGGTTTTTAATTTCTGCGTCACTAGGGGCTGGATTATTGCAATGTCTGTCCAAGCTGGACTTAAAAGAGAACTATGGGGTAAGTGTTTTTCCCCATAGTTCTCCTCAGGGTCATGTGAGAACATATACTAGCGTCCTCCCGTGACCCATAGCTCAGTATATAGCGAGCTAAATCTACAATCACGTAAGTGTTTTTTGGTGTGTCGTGGAAAACGAAACATTTTTCCTGCACTTAGGCGCTTTCCCCTTTTCTCTATATCTTTCTCCTTTGAGACATCATAAGGGATACCGCCGATGGTACGGTGTGATCTGTTTGATAAGGAAGGGGGAAGCTGCGCACGGCTTGCCCATCCATGTGGGCAAGCCGTGGGCGGCCGATCACTACAATAAAGAGATCGCGTCCTCCCGTCCCCCTAGGCTCAGCATACCGCAAGCTACAGCTTGTGGTATACTGAGACGCCGCAGCTGAAGCGGATCCCGACAATTATGCCGGGATCCGCCCAGCTGTGTGACTGACAGCTGGCTCTGCCTATCTAGAGGCAGAGCCAGCTGTACCTGCCCCCTCCCCCATCCGTTCCGCCAGTCAGCGCTGGCGGATCGGAGCGGGGAATCCAGCCCCTCCCCGGCAGAGAGCCCTGACAGGATCGAGAGGTGAGCGAACGCCGGTATGTGCTCGCTCACTTCCCGATCTACTGATACTGTACTTGTGTTAAAGGAGAACTATGAGGATGAGTGAAAAGCACTCACCTCATAGTTCTCCTTTAACACAAGTACAATATTTGTAGCACTATGCACTAATTAGAGTGGAATCCCGGATTTGTACACATTTTATCCATACACGTGCATCAACAGATTTTTTTTTGTTGGGATACAGACTGCTAGATTTTTAATTTTTATAATTTTTACATATTTCATATGTATTATTGCACAGAGTATTTCACAAACATTTTTTTTTCACAAGTACGAGGTGAATTTCACTTATCAACTTTGAGAGTTTTATTCGTTTACATTTTGATTGAGCGCAACATAATTAGCACTAATTACTGTCGAGATCCACCCAGCTGCGTGATTGACTGCGGGCTCTGCCCATCTAGAGGCAGAGCCAGCTGTACCCGCCCCCTCCCCCATCCGCTCCTCCAGTCAGCTGGGAATCCCTGCAGGGAGCCGTGACTGACAATCACGACTCTCTGCAGGGAGATGATCAAGAAGTGAGCGAGTGACGGTATGTGTTCGCTCACTTCCCGATCTATAGAGACGATTTGTGACAGTTTCATTATCACACGTCGGCTCGAACTATGAGGATAAGTGATTTCCCCTCACCTCATAGTTCTCCTTTAAGTTTTACATTTTTGCTAGAGTTGACGTTATACTTGTTTGCGTCCAAAGGCTTATGATCACAATGTCAGTGCTGGCGTAATGATCTCGTGGCTTTGTTAGAAAACAAAGTGATTTTTTTTTTTAACAAAAAGTGGGACAGAATTTTAGATAATGGCTCTCTGTGCCCTCCTGCCCATGTGACAATCACACCTCCCACATCTTGTACAGGTGCCACGGGGACATTGTGTAAGTAAGTATCTTTTGAATGGGGTCATAGACCGAATAAAAAAACAGAACAGAATTTTTAACTATACCCAATACTAAAAAATTGGCTGGAATTAGGCTTCAAGGCCAAACATGAAGCTATACAATATATTAATTGTACAATGTACGCTATAACCAGACACAAAGGGAAAATTCTGGAACCATACATCTGTTATTTGCGTCAGGCGTGCACGTAATTTTCTGTTGTGAGGAATCTGGAAGCATGCACACCGATCATTGTACCCCACTTTATTTGTTCCACTAATGGTCTATAGAAAGGTTCATTAAGGAGGCAAATAACTTATTATGAAGAGAATATGGATTTATGGATTTCTCCGTGCTGTGTAAGCCAGAGTTAAGCCTTTGTCTGAGATGTAAATATATGGATTGGTTGGCTGTTTGATAAAGGCTTGTTTTTTCATCCTCTATTTCAGTCCATCTGCAACTAACACACTGCAAGCGTATACGGTATATTATAGTTAGTATTATGGTTACTGAGAAATATACACGGCCTGTGCAAAAAAAAAAAGTCACACTCGCTAATATTTCATTGGACCACCTTTAGCTTTTATTATGGCATGCATTTGCCGTGGCATAGTTTCAATAAGCTTATGCAAGTTCATGTACAGAGTTGCATTAATTTTTCACCAAGATCTTGTACTAATGATGGGAGAGTTGGACTACTGCATTAAGTGTTCTCTAGGACAGCGGTCACCAACTGGTGGTCCCTGACAAAAGTGAATACATATATATTTTTAAAAAATTCATATTAGTGGTCCGCGGGATTTGAAATTATGAATTTAGTGGTCCATGAGGTCCGAAAGCTTGGCGACTGCTGCTCAAGGACACATCCTAAAGTTTCTCAATGGGGTTAAGGTCTGAACTCTGTGGTGACCAATCCATGTGTGACCATGATGTCTCATGCTCCCTGAACTACTCTTTCACAATTTGAGACTGATGCCATCAGGGTATATTCAGGTAGGCTGCTGACTTAATTTTTTAGGCACATCATGTTGCTGAGCCTAGATCATATTATCCAACCTAGATCCTTTTATCCTATTATCCAATGGAAGGCTCTTACCTATTTTCTTAGCTAAAGCCAGGTGGTGACTTTTTTTTGGGACAGGCAGTGTATTTTGCCGCAGGCTACAAACAGAATGAGGCTGTGCATATTGTATTGTGTGATTACAGGTGTGCCTGGAGGTATGTGAGCCTTCATGTAAAGGCTGGGCCCCTTTCTCAACCCTGTTCTCCCGATCAGCTACCAATAGCAGGATTTCTAGGAACTGACGGAAGGGTGCAAACCTCTGTGGAATGCTGGCTAAGCAAGGCACACCGTACTCAGAATTCTACCTGCTGATGTGTTGATGCTGTTTTATTTTTAAAGAATGCTCTTTGCCATTTATAATGTTACAAGAAGTGGCTAAGTGTTTTTCTACAAGTATAGTTATAGAATTGCACTTTGATTGCATCCATATTTTGTTTGGGCTCAGTTCCATTCTGTGACATTGTATGTTGGGTATGAAGGGCTACCATTAGAGCAATAAAGTCGTTATTACTTAGTGGTACGAGGCATATATATGTCAGGATTGGGCCCCTCTATTTAGAATTGACATTACCTGTCATGCAAGCAGGGCCGGTTTTACTTTCTCTTCTGCCCCAAGGCCAGGTTCCCCAATGTGCCCCTCAAATAAAAGCAGAAGAGGCAATCGCTCCCTTCTTTCTCTCTCCTACATGCTAACAACTTATTTGATGCCTGGAGATGCTTGCATGGAAATGAAAGGGATTATACCCAGGGCCAGATTCACTCTCCCTTCTGCCCCAAGGCCAGGTCCCTCAATGCGCTTCCCGCCAACCCCCACACCCCCAATGGAGAATGGCAACCAGATGGCGGGGGCAGCAGGGTTAGTTTAAATTTTTTTTTCTCTTTATTGTTTTATTCACTTTTTAAATTTTTTTATTATTTTTTTACTTTCTTAAATATTTAGATTCATACAAAACGAGCAGTGGCTGCGCTGCTCTACATTTAGCCCTGCTTGTAGACTATATGAGCAGGATAGAGCTACTGCTAAAACAGAGGGAAGTATTCAGACACCGAACAAAAAGAATAGGGTCTCAGCATGACCAATCGATTAGGCAATTTAAGACAATTAGAAAAGATTTTAGAACAAGACAGTGTAACTCTTGACTGAAATTTTGTATCTTTTGTAGGACATTTTGTAGGGAAAACAACAGGTTCACTTTAATGGTGGACTCACCAGCAGAATATGCTCACCTTTCTTTTTCTCCCCTGCCACTACATGTGACTCACTCCCCTTTCTCTTACATGACAGCACTGGTTCTTGACCACTCAGGTACCCAACACCATAACATGGAGGTGAGAAGAGACTTAGAGCTTACACAGGGCTTCTTCTTTTCTTTCCCAGTGGTTAAACAAAGCTGCAGGGGGTGAATGGTAGGAAAGTACATTCAGATGGTGCATGGGAAATCACATGTTCATTTTAAGTGCAATTTGAAGCTTGGAGAGACTGTCACATTGCCCATGCAGGGAAAAGGGTATCTCTTGCAGCAAACACAGGTGTGCAAGTTGTAGTAATCCATAGCATTCAATAAAGAAACAAATCTTTACCTGTCCTAACTGCTTTTAACTGATGAGAGATTAAATCCATTCATTAGCTAAAGATTACTCTACATATTTGCTTGTGGCATAGTTCTACGGTTACTAATAATATTATTTTTCTGTTTGTATACACAGACAATAATTGAACACTGTGAGAAGGCTCAATGACGGTTTCCAGCCATGCAATGTTCTTGGAAGGCTGTCCTCTTACTAGCGCTGGCCTCTATTGCTATCCAGTACACAGCCATCCGAACCTTTACAACCAAATCCTTTCATATGTGTCCGGTTCCTAACCCGAGCAACTGTAGCCTGGGACAAGAACCTACGGACTCTCCTGATCGGTTGTGTGAAGATGGCCAGCCAGTAACTTCTAACATCTCAAGGAAAACTCATATCCTAATCCTTGCCACCACCCGCAGTGGGTCTTCTTTTGTTGGTCAACTGTTCAATCAACACTCGGACGTCTTCTACTTGTTTGAACCACTTTATCATGTTCAGTACACACTAATTCCCAAAATGACACAAAGTAAAAGTCCTGCTGAAAGGAGAGTGATGTTGGGAGCTAGCAGGGACCTCTTAAGAAGCCTTTATGACTGTGACCTTTATTTCATGGAAAACTATATCAAGCCACAACCGGTCAATCACACCACAGATAGACTTTTCCGAAGGGGTGCAAGTAAAGCGCTCTGCTCTGCCCCAGTTTGCGATGCCCTGGGTCCCACTGATATTTATTTAGAAGAAGGAGACTGCATTAAGAAATGTGGGAGCCTGAATTTGACTCTAGCAATGGAGTCTTGTAAAGACCATGGACATGTGGCTATCAAAACAGTCCGGGTTCCTGAAGTTAATGACTTAAGAGCATTGGTAGAGGATCCTCGCCTTAATTTAAAGGTGATTCAGTTGGTGAGAGACCCACGAGGAATATTGGCCTCCCGTAGTGAGACCTTCAGAGACACTTACAGGCTATGGAGGATCTGGAGGGCTACTGGTCGCAGACCATACAATTTGGACTCAACTCAGTTGACCACTGTATGTGAGGACTTCTTAAACTCTGTGTCGACTGGGTTTAGTAGGCCACCATGGCTCAAGGGGCGCTACATGCTTTTAAGGTATGAAGACCTGGCTAGAAACCCTATGAAGAAGATGGAGGAAATCTATGATTTTGTGGGTATTCCACTGGATGCCAATGTGGAAAGATGGATTCTGAACAATACTCGGGGTGACCAGTCTTCTGCCAAACACAAGTATGGGACGGTCAGAAACTCTGCAGCCACAGCAGAAAGCTGGAGACTGACCTTGTCCTATGACATTGTAGAGTTCACCCAGAATGCCTGTCGACAAGTATTAAGCCAACTGGGCTACAAAACTGTGGGGTCTTCCCAGGACTTGAGGAACCTTTCCTACAGCCTCATCGAGGACAGATCTTTTACGCCTTTTTTGTAATGGTCTATTTCTCAGTAGATAAAACAGACAGTGAAAGAGCTATACACAAGATGCCAAGAAAGGAGTTAGGGAATAAAAATAACTTTATTTTTGATAAAGCTACCCCCTTCTTCATCTTCTTGAGAAACAAGTTGCACTACAGTGGTTGGGATCTAAAAGCACATTGAAAAAAAAAGGAGGTTATACCTCTCTGAAACTTGAATTCGTTTCTACAGAGCAGTTGAATATTGAAAACTCTGTAAAGTCCATTCATAAATTGAAATAGCTCAGCTGTATGGACATATTCATTGGTGTTTCAAGGAGAGCCTTAAAGGGAATATTTTGTGGCGAGACTTTTGTTTATGAGTGGCTGATACATTCCTGGCCAACCATTTTCCAAAAAAAAAAGCAAAAAAAAAAAATGAATTAAAGTGAGACCAAAGCCAGAAGTTAGATCTTAAAAATGCATTTTAAGTACCCTAACTATTAACAAAAATGTATCTTTATTTGTGTATCACTCGGCTGTAGATCCTCAAATCATCTCTGAATTGGTGCTGACACTGTCCTTTCTTCAGGAGGGTGACTACTTTTGCTCCCCATGGTCCCTGTGTTTATTGTAAAGTAATCACCGCTCCAAGCTCACTCCCATGATAGACTACAATCTCAATACCAATTAGTAAACGAAACATGAGATTGTAGTCTATGGCGGGACTGACCTTGGAGCGGTGGCTACTTTACAGCACACACAGGGACCATGGGGAACAAAAGCAGCCCCCCTCCAGAAGGAAGGACAGTGTCGGCACCAATTCAGAGATGATTTGAGGATCTACAGCCGACTGATACACAAATAAGATACATTTTTGTTAATAGTTAAGGTACTTGAATGCATTTTTAGGATTTAACTCCTGAATTTAATGTCACTTTAAGAACTTAAAGGAAACCTATTCTGAAAGAAACATGGAGGCTGCAGTTGATGACCTTTGCTCCTACACATGCTAGTTGTCTGGCTCCCTGCTAAACCAACGGCTTCAACACTTTCTGAGGCACTAACCTGGAAATAAGACGATCAAGACTTCATTCTGACTTTTTTGCTACATGCTTGTCAGTGATTCAGAAAGCACTGATGTAGCCAATCAACTAGCATTTCCAAAAGCAGTGACAGCCACTGTATTTCACCCAGTACAGGTTTCCTTAACCTAAACATTGCTTGTAAATGTGAGATTGTAAGGCAGTGCAGCAAAGTATCCTTTTTTTTTTTTAAATGGCCTTTTGACTAGTTTCATATGCTTTTCCCTATTTTATCTGTTGCTTCTTTAGAATGCCAAGGCATTTGTTCATGTGATCTCATTCAGTCAGAGCTGACCAAGCAGAAGCTCCACCTCAGCTCCAGACCTTTGATTCTGCTGACATCACATGACCACATGTATTTTCTGCAGAACTGGTGAATATTACAGTTAATTTGACCATTATTACAAGAAAGCAAAATGGTCAGGTGGGATTTCATGTGGCTATGAATTCTGTTTACCTGTACGGGGCAAAGCAATATGTTCACGTCACTACCACCTACCTAGTTGCACATACAGGCCTTCCTTCTGCTCCCCAATCGATTTATTATGCTGCTGTTAGTGGCTGCAGATTAAAGTGACACTAAACTCAGGAGTCATATCTTAAAAATGCATTCAAGTACCTTAACTATGAACAAAAATGTATCTTATTTGTGTGTCACTCGGCTGTAGATCCTCAAATCATCTCTGAATTGGTGCTGACACTGTCCTTCCTTCTGGAGGGTGGCTACTTTTGTTCCCCATGGTCCCTGTGTGTGTTGTAAAGTAGTCACTGCTCCAAGCTTGCTCTTGTGATGGACTACAATCTCACATTTAGTTTAATAAGTTGTATTGAGATTGTAGTCCATCAATGGAGTAAGCTTGGAGCGGTGACTACTTTACAACACACAGGGACCATGGGGAAAAAAAGTAGCCACCCTCCAGAAGGAAGGACAGTGTAAGCACCAAATCAGAGATGATTTGAGGCTCTACAGCCGAGTGATACACAAAAAGATACATTTCAGTAAATAGTTGGGGTACTTGAATGTATTTTTTATATTTAACTCCTAAGTTTACTGCCACTATAAGTCCCACATAAGGTACAAGTCATGAATTGGATCTGATACAAGGCTTCTCTTCCCACCCCCATGTGACAGTTCTGGGTGCCTGAGTGGCCATTCACCAAGCACCAGCACTGTCACATGGGTGGAAGGGGAGCGAGTGACGCGCTCTTTATACCCAGAAGTATCCAGTTTGTTTCTTTGATTTTGCTGGCCAAAGTGACAAGGTAGCAAAAGGAAGGTGACTACGAGCAGCTCGGAAGCGGTCAGTTAGGTGACCCAAGCCACTTGGAAAGAGTATACAGTCTTAAAGTATATTTCCACTTAAGCAGCCAAATTGGGATAACACGTATTTTATATTTGTTACATGTTCTCAATAATATAGCATACATTGCTGCTTACACAATACTTGTTTTTTCTGGGGAAAATTATTTTTTTTTCTAAATTGAATTTTCCCCTGGAATGTAAGAGGGCTGGGGAGGTGATTGTTACCATAATGAGCCCTGTCTGTACTGTGCTGGCAGAATTAATAATCAGTTGTAAACTAGATGTCAACACTGACTGTCCTAACAAAGGGTTACATTTTCAGAAACTTGGCTTCTTGCATTGTATGTTAATGAAAGGAAGCTAAGTCTATCCCTAATCTTTGTATGGGAACAGTCAAAATTTCCTCTCACTTTGAAATTGCACAGAGAAACTTGCAGTCTGTCCAAAGGCCTGCCCCAGAGAAATATCTAGAAAAGATAAGAAATGTTTTCATTTCATTATTATTAGGTATGCTTTATGAATGGAAACACATAACAAACATATACATTTGACTGCAAAAGTGGAAAACACTTTAGAGACCCTAAAGGGTAAATTCAGTACTCTCTTGCAAAAGAAAACAGCATATACCTTGCTGCAGCCCATGTCTCCTACTTCTCTTCCATCCGAGTGCTGCAGCCTCTGAAAGCCTCTCCAGCATTTGACACTTCCAGGAGTGTCGGACGCCTGTGTCCCCTGCTGTGCGCTAGTTCCTTGCTCCATTTCAGGACTCAGCAGTGACATAGAAGGTTGGAGGATGGAACCAACACACGGCAGAGGACACAGGTATCTGATACTACTGGAAGTGTTGAGAGACATCAGCGCTGGGAATGGAAGAGAGGTAGGAGATGCGGGCAGCCGCAAGGTATATGTTATCGTCTCTTGCAGGGGAGTGCTGGATTTAACACTTTAGAGACCTGACAGGGTCTCTTTAAAGCTGCACTTTGGGTAAAATTAATATTGACTCTTGAAGTGGGGCTCTCCCCACATTGAAAGGGTTAAATGCTCATTCTGTCCAGGGGGGATAGAAAAAGCAGTTATACTTACCTTATCCCTTACTCCTCCAGCAGCTGACACTCTTCTCTGCTCTCCAATGCTCGGGGCTATGGGTGGACCCCCGGCATCCTCACTTACAATACAGGACTACTGCTCTTATATTGTACCTGATGACGTCAGAGTGCCTGAGACCGAGGGAGTGCCGAAGTGAAGGGGCTTCAGGGGACTGGTTGTGCAACTGGCAAGAAGTCTGCAAGACGAAGGCATAAGGGAAGTATAACTACATTATACTGTTTCCCCCAGACCTGGGGTAGGCAACCTCAGCACTCCAGCTGGGTCGAAACTACAAATCTTGTCATGCCACTGTGAGTCATGCCTGTGGCTGTTGGAGTCTTGCAATGCCTCATGGGATTTGTAGTTCCACCACAGCTGGAGTGCCAAGGTTGCCTACTCCTGCTGTAGGCAAATCCAAGCATTCAACCCTTGCAGTGAGAACTCCACTACGAGGGCCAATTTTTTTTTTTACCCTGAGTTCAGCTTTAACGGTACTAGATAGGTGATGAAAACTATTTATAAAACTGATGCTTTTTACTGTCCTGCTGTACAAATCAATTTAGGAAGTGCGCAGCAATTAATTATAGGCTCGCTTTAGCCGAAGAGGGCGTTTACTGTTTACACAAACCAAAACACGCGGTACCTTCTGATAGGTACTCTTTTTTTGCAGAGCACGCTGTAGGACTCAAAGGGGAGGGAAATTGCACAAGTTTTCTTGAACCGTGTTGTATTAACTTATAATTGTTTATACAGAGGTATGCATTGAAGAGCTGGATTCTTATTGTGTCTTTCATGCCCTAAGTCATTGAAGGCAAGACTGTACAGATGTCTGTGAGTTCTTGGATTTATATATATGTGTCAAATTTCTCAAATAAACTGGAAATCAGCAATAAAGACAGTGTTTCATAAATGGATCAAAGGTGTTGAATCAGTAAAAAAAATGACACTTCTAATTACAGCTGTAATTGAGGGGTCTCCATCTCACAGCTTCTTGGATTAGCCAAGGTCAAGAGTTGCAATTACAGTCTACAATTGCAGCACCACCTGCTGGTAATATTTGATACTGTAAAGTAACCATACCTGCATAGCAAATGATCAATTCCCTGACCAGTCCCAATTTATTTCAACATCTATTGCAGGGGTAGGCAAACTCTGGTCTTCCAGCTGTGGTGCAACTACAACTAGGCGTTGCAAAACTGACAGCTACAGGCATGACTCCCAGAAGCAAATGATGAGGTTTGTGGTTTCACAACAGCTGGGAGGCAGTAGTTTGCCTACCCCTGATCTGTTGCATGAGGCAACATTTGCTGCATCTATAACATACATGCGGCATTTATAACACCTGCATGCCAGCCATCTGAGAAATGAGGATCTCTGTGCCAAATGCCATGCTTATAATACATCCAACCTTACACTGCTACAAAGCTGAATTCCAGGAGGATATAACATGCAAAAATTAGTGAAGCTTTTTTTATGAATACATCGTTAAATCTGTTAATATAGCACTGCAAATTTATGCAGCACTGTACATATTATTCATTCACCAGATCACCACCTGGAGGAAGAAGGTCCTGATTTCTCTATATAG